CCACCATGCCCAGCTAATTTTTGTATTTTTAGTAGAGACGGGGTTTCACCTTGTTGACCAGGATGGTCTCGATCTCTTGACCTCGTGATCCACCCTCCTTGGCCTCCCAAAGTGCTGGGATTATAGGCGTGAGCCACCGCGCCCGGCTGGAAAGGACCTTATAATTAACCCAGTATCAGTTTATTTTACAGTTTCAACAAGACAAAAAAATTCGCCCAAAGTAATAAATTGGTCATGGACAAATACGGGATGATAACTAACATCCTGCCCTGAGCATTTTCCAATGAAAATACTTGCTTAATACAGGTCCGGTTAACTTAAATCTTAATTTTCCAAACTTTATGCATAGTTACCTGTCCTTCAGGATTGTGACTTAGAGGGGGTTCACCTTCCAAAGGAGTATCTGAGCTCTGAGATTTTATACTAGGTGCCTGCTGAAAGAAAATGAACACACCTCAAAAACTGAATTCCTACACGGTCTTCATAGTGATAAGAACAATGATCTCTACATTGCATCAAAATGCAAACTAACTGCAGTCATAAAAAATAATGAGTTCATGTCTTTTGCAGGGACATGGATGAAGCTGGAAACTATCATTCTCAGCAAACTAACACAGGAACAGAAAACCAAACACTGCATGTTCTCATTCTTAAGTGGCAAATGAACAATGAAAACACATGGACACAGGGAGGGGAACATCACATACCGGGGTCTGTTGGGGGTGAGAGGCAAGGCGATGGAAAGCATTAGGACAAATATCTAATGTATGCAGGGCTTAAAATCTAGATGACAGGTTGACAGGTGCAGCAAACCACCATAGCACATATATACCTATGTAACAAACCTACATTCTGCAAATGTATCCTACAAATATACATTCTGCATATGTATCCCAGAACCTAAAGTAAAATTTTTTAAAAATGCAAACTAACATTAATACAAGTCACCAATTGAGAAATCAGTGAAGCCTCTGGAATGTAAACTAACAGGCAAAATCATCACCTTTTCAACAACATACCATATCTCCAGGCCTAGGCCTTCCATCTATATCTTTTTCTTTCACTGGTTTATCTTCTTTCAGAGTCTTAGAAACAGCTGCTTTGGGCAGTACAGAATTAATTCCTCCTATTTTATTATTATGAATCAAATGATGGCCAATATCCCGGAACAAGCTGAATAAACACTTGGTCTGAAAAACAAAAAACAAAAGCAATACATGAGACAAACTTGAAAGAAAGCCGTTATTTTTTTTTATCATTTAGTTTTCCAAACAATTTCAGCATTTAACATCAGAGAGAGAGAAGGAACCTGAAAAAATTCATTGTATTTCCCTCCTTTTAGAACAGAAAAAATCACCACAGAAAGTTAGTTGCCTACTATATCATTTAAAGGATTTAGAGGAGACCTTACAACCTGGCTTGATTCTGGTGTCTCATAACTCTTATAATCAGAATGCTTTTAATCTTTGACAAAGAATTTCAAATTAGGCTGGACATGGTGGCTCACACCTGTAATCCGGGCACTTTGGCAGGAGGACTACGTGAGCTCAGTAGTTCGAGACCAGCTTAGGCAAAATAGTGAGACCTCATCTCTATAAAAACAAACAAAAAAATCAGCGAAGTCTGGTGGCACATGCCTGTAGTCCTAGCTAATGGGGAGACTGAGGTGGGAGAATCACTTGAGCCCAAGCAGTCAAGGCTGCAGTGAACCATGACTAACTGTATCACTACATTCCAGCCTGGGCTACAGAACGAGACCCTGTCAAAAAAAAAAAAAGACTGGGTGCAGTGGCTCACATCTGTAATCCCAGCACTTTAGGAGACTGAGGCAGACGGATCACTTGAGATCACAAGTTTGAGACTAGCCTGGCCAACATGGTGATACCCCGTCTCTACTAAAAATACAAAAATTAGCCGGATGTGGTGGCACATGCCTGTAATCCCAACTACTGGGAAGGCTGAGGCAGGAGAATCACTTGAACCTGGGAGGCAGAGGTTGCAGAGACCTGAGATGGCGTACTGCAGCCTGGGTGACAGAGCGAGACTCCATTTAAAAAAAAAAAAAAAATTAAATTAACATTAAGAGGTTGAATTCACTTCTATATAAGAAATAGTATCTATTTAGTTACCATGACCTAGCAGTTATAATTGGAAGGATAAGGCAAGTTTAAAAAGTTCAAAGCAAAACCTTTGTATGGAAAAATTCAAACTATAGATAAATCACTAGAAAAGGATTGTATAACAATTTTTTCCCTAAAAATTCTCTTTTTAAATAAACAATTTTTTAATTAGACAACATGGATGATTCTCAAAATAATTTATGTTGAATGAAAAGAACCAGACCAAAGGAAGCCAGGGGAGAGGGAAGGGGTGGACAAAAGTGGGCAAAGGAATAATAGAAGACACAAAAACTTTGGGAGCTAATGCGTCTAAGTTCACTATCTTGATTGTGGTGATAGTTTCACAGATGTACAGATATGTCAAAACTTTAAAATTGTACAATTTAAATATATGCAGTTTATTTATCAATTTTACCTCAATAAAGTTGTTTGAAAACAATCCAACAATGTTAATTGTAAATATTAAAAATCACTCACAATCCTACCACCTATGTGATAAATACTATATTTCATTGATTCAAAGACATAAGCTTTCTCAAATTTTAACATCTCTGGAGTATGTTCTATAATAAGAGCATTTCATGTAAGTGGTATCATAAAATACAGTCTTTTCCATCTGCCTTCTTTTACTTAGTGTGTTTTTGAGGTTCATCCATGCTATAGCATGTATCAGTTGGTTCATTACTTTTTTACTTATTATTTTAGTTATTTATTTATTTGAGACAGAGTCTCACTCTGTCACCTAGACTGGAGTGCAGTGGCACAATCACAGTTCACTGCAACCTCTGCCTTCTGGGCTCAAGCCATCAGCCCACCTCAGCCTCCTGAGTAGCTGGGACTATAGGCACACACCACCACCCCAGCTAAATTTTGTATTTTTTGTAGAGATGAGGTCTCACCATGTTGCCCAGGTTTGTTTCAAACTCCTGGCCTCAATGGTCTGCCCACCTCAGTCTCCCAAAGTGCTGGGGCTACAGGTATGAGACACCACACCTGATCCAAATTTACTTTTTAGAAAACAGGCTGGGCACAGTGGCTCACACCTGTAATCCCAGTACTTTGGAAGGTCAAGGCAGGAGGATTGCTTGACCCCAGGAGTTCGACACCAGCCTGGGAAACACAACGAGCCTCTGTCTTTAAAAAAAAAAAAAAAAAATTTAATTAGGTGGATGTGGAAGCATATGCCTACAGTCCCAGTTACTCAGGAGGCTAAGGTAGAGGATCACTTGAGCCCCGTAGTTCAAGGCTGCAGTACTTGAACTACTACTGATAGTACCACTGCACTCTAGCCTGGTGACAGAGACCCCATCTCAACACAAAACAAAACCCAACTTTATCAATACTCACATTTATATAAGTTACCCATTTAAAGTACACGATTCAGTGATTTGAGGATTTTACACCATTAGTAGTTCATTCCTTTTCACTGCAAAACAGTATTCCCTTGTTTAGATATACCACATTTTGTTTATCTGTAGACATTTGGATTATTGTGAGCTTTTGGCTATTATAAATAATTCTGCAATAAACATTTACATATGGCCGGGCATGGTGGTTCACGCCTGTAATCCCAGTACTTTGGGAGGCCGAAGCAGGCAGATCATGAGGTCAGGAGATCAAGACCATCCTGGCCAGCATGGTGAAACCCCATCTCTCTACTAAAATTAAAAAAAAAAAAAATTAGCCAGGCATGGTGGCATGTGCCTGTAGTCCCAGTTACTCAGGAGGCTGAGGCAGGGGAATTGCTTGAACCCAGGAGGAGAAGGTTTCAGTGAGCTGAGATCGCGCCACTGCACTCCAGCCTGGCAACAGTGTAAGACTCCGTCTCAAAAACAAAACGAAACAAAAACAACAACAAAAAAAAAACCCCATTCACAGTATATGTCTTCGTGTGAATGCAGGTTTTCTTTTCTCTTAGAAATTCCTGGAAGTGATTTGTTGGATTGTATGGTAAGTTTTTATTTACCATAGATATTCTTGTTTTCGTTTTTTTGAGACAGGGTCTCACTCTTGTCACCCAAGCTGGAGTGCAGTAGCATGATCATGGCTCACTGCAGCCTTGACCACCTGCTGGGCTCAAGTGATCCACTCACCTCAGCCTCCCAAGCAGTGGAACTGCAGGCATATACAAACACACTCAACTAATTTTTGTATTTTTTTGTAAAGATGGGGGTTTGCCATTTTGCCTGGCTGGTCTCCAACTTCTGAGCTCAAGCAATCTACCCATTTCAGCTTTCCAAAGTCCTGGGATTACAGGCTTGAGCCACTGTGCCTGGCCAGATTTTCTATATAGTTGTCTTTTCAAGTATTGAGAATAGAATAGTGAAATTTCTAAATATTATTGCCAAATTGACTATTTCTGCTTTCAATTCTGTTGGGTTTTGCTTCAAGTATTATGAGGTGATTGTGTTGTATTGTTAGTTGCATATACACTTACAATTGTCCTGTCTTCCTAATGAATTGATGCTTTAATCATTGTAACATGCCACTATGTCTTCAGTAACATGTATTTCTAGTTTTAAAAACTATTTTGTCTGGTATTACTGTAGTTACTCAGCTATTATATTTTTTGTTTGCATAGTATATCTTTTGTACCTTTTTACTTCAACCTTTTGTGTATTTGAATCTAAGGTGTGTCTACTTTAAATAGTATATAGTTGAATCTTGATTTTTTTGTAAATCCAATTTAATAATTTCTAACCTTTTATCAGTGTGTTTGGACCACTTACATATCATTGTTTTGAAATACTTAGATTTTTATTTTCCATGCTATTTGTTTTCTACTTGTCATCTGGTTTTTTTTGTTGTTCTGTCCTTCCTTTAACTATCTCATGTTAAATAAATATTTGTGATATCCCATTTAATTCCTTTGTTGAGATATATATATGATATATACATAAATATATACATAATATATATACATACACATATATATATGTACATATCTATATGTATACACACACAATTTTCTTAGTGGTTACTTAGGGATTACAATATACATCCTAACTAATCACAGTCTATTTCACATCAATACTAACTTAATTCTGGTAAAATACAGAAACTTGGCTCCACTATAGCTCCATTCTATCCTCCTTCATGCTATTATAATATAAATTAAATCTATATGTTAATCCAATAATATAATTAATACTTTATCCGATCATGTCTTCTAAAGAAGTTAAGAGTAAAAATGAAAAAGTTCTATTTCTAAACTCCTTTATATTCACTTATATTTAACCATTTCAAGTAATCCTCATTTCTTCTTATGGATTCAAGTTAGCAACTGGTGTCATTTCCTTTCAAGCTGAAAGCCTTCTTTTAGTATTTCTTGCAAGGTAAGTTTCCTAGCAACAAATTCTTTCAGGATTTATCTGAAGATATATTTATTTTGCCTTTTTTTTTTTTTTAATTGAGACAGAGTCTTACTCTGTCATCCAGGCTGGAGTGTAGTGGTGCAATCTTGGCTCACTATAACCTCCTACCTCAGCAATTCTCCTGCCTCAGCCTCTCTAGCTGTTGGGATTACAGGCATGCACCACCACATCCGGGTAATTTTTGTATTTTCAGTAGATACAGGGTCTCAACATGTTGGCCAGGCTGGTCTCAAACTCCTTGACCTCAGGTGATCCACCCACTTCTACCTCTGAAAGTGCTGGGATTACAGGTGTGAGCCACTGTGCCCAGCCCTACCTTTGTTTTTGATTGGCTGTGTGTGTGTGTGTGTGTGTGTGTGTGTGTGTGTTTCATTCAGAATTGCACATACAGCTAGTGCTCGACTTACGACCACGATTGGTTCCGACAGACCGGTCGTAACATGATTTGGTCGTAAGTTGAGTCAGCTATATGCACGCAGAGATGGTAGTGCTGCCGGAAGCTGGTCCGCACTGTCGTACGCCCAGTTGGGCAACGTTTGCGCTGCCAGACGCGGAGCAGTCGTGGCTAGCGATGGTGGTCGTAAAGTCGGATGGTTGTAAGTTGCATAGGTAGTAAGTTGATCAATACCTGTATGTTATTCCATTGCTTTCTGGCTTCCACTGTTTCAGATGAAAAATCAGCAATTAACCATACTG